GAATTAAATTAACATATCTACTGCACTTTCTGTTTGGTGTTTACTTTAAAATATTGGAAATATAACAATTAAGAGAAATATAAAATTGTGGGGCACGGGTATGTAGAGAAAAATAATGGTCGTTATCTCATGCAATCAATATCGTATTAGTGGCAAATGTGGTTGTGCAAATTGGAGGAAATATATGAAGAACATACAACATTAAAGAACATACAATACGATAAGAAAGAGTTGATATTGGATGAGGAAATATGGAAAGTGTTGGTCTTTGGAAAGAGAGGAGACGATATCGGTGAATGGAATGGAAGTGAAAATATGAAGCATAAATGTATGCGAGTGTATGCGAAAGAAAGAAGGATAATATTAGGTTGGCCGATAAGTCAATGCGTTTCAAAAATGAGGTGATTCATGTTTTACACGAATATTTATTGCATCCTTTTGCAAACTTAGTTATCAGAATAATTCAGTATTCTAAAATCCTTTAACCAACATCAAACATTAAATATTCAACTAACATTTTATTTATTATAGAGCAGAGCTGATAAAAGCTGTCTGTAGAATGTCCAAGCAAAACGACGACCGTTCTACCGAGCAGTCAAAACGTTAATTATGCGATCCTTTCAAGCTCGAAATTAAAAAGAAAAACTGATTGATGCAACATCAATGTGCACGACTTACCTACAACATATTCAACTCGACCTTTGGCATAATAGGCTGACAATCCGGCGACATGGCCACCAAGAGAATGACCGACCAAGGTCAGTTGCGATAAATCCATTCCTTGCGACTTAAGAAAATCGATCATGGAGGCACTGTATTGACCCACCATCACAACGCGTTTAGTTGCCCATATGTATGGCCTAAGTGTTATTGTGCTCCAGTCAATCGCGATGACGTTGTAGTCACCGTGCTGAAGGTAAGCTGTGAACGATAAAAATGAGTCGGACTTCTCATTATTAATGACAAACCATGTTACGCTACATATACTAACTACATATAAGTGTTATCAAACGGTAAAACTGTCAAACGACTGCCAGACGAAGCTGACAGTTCATAAATTATGTGCGTACCGTCGCGAATCAATCGAAACGCGCTGCTGCTTTCCGAGTTTATCCATCCGTGTGTGACCATCATTGTCGGTTTCTTTGGATCGAAGTGGCTCTTCTTCAACGCGTCAACGTCGTTAAGAATCAACTTCTGACTTTTCGTCGGATTAGCTTTCGTATAAAGATAGAAGAAGACACGATTATACAAATCCTTTCTCGTTTCTTCCTCGGATTCGTCATAAGTGTCTACGTTCATTTGATCACTTATCACAGGTACTTCATCTTTAGGAAGATCTATCTCGCCTTCGATCTCATTTGAGATCGCGGCACCTGTAAAACATGGCACAATTTTTATACCAGAAACCTTTTTGCTAAAAAGGTAAGCTTTCTTTTCCATTTACGCGTGACTGAATTCTTATTTCTTATAATTCTTTATTTCTTGCTGGCACAGTTGCAAGCGATTGATATAAATGCGATATATTCTACGGATTTTAAAGGAGACATTAATATCACGATAATCGGTGAATGAGAATGATTGTAGCTGAAAATAGAGAAATACGAAGAAAGCAGTGTTTTATATTTGGCTTCTATTAAAACATCGTAAGAATTTACCATAGACGCCGCAGACAAGCAGTAAACTAACCAGAGCGTATGCCTTCATGTTTGACTCGACTTTCCTGGTGGCAACGACTCGTGATTCCTTTATAAAGCCATCAATCGATATGATTGATATCGTTCAACGATAAGATAAAGATTACGTCTTCACATCGTTCGTTGCAGCCAGATTAAAATGCGATCAAGGAAAGATGGATAGTTGTGTTAGATAGAGATCAAGTATGGTTCCTTTTGTTCTCTGTACTATTTAGAAGTATCGAGATTAATGCGCGATAAAGACGTGTTTAAGAATAATCGTTTCGGTTATATTAAAAATCCTCTGCTTAATTATTGCCATCAGTAACAAATGCGATCAAGAAAAAATGGATAATTGAATTATGATGCAGCGGATTAAGTATCAAAATGTCTGCAGCTTTCAAGTATGCCATTGTCATAAGATAGATAATACGTTATCTATAATAAAGCATAATATTTCGTCTATGATAAAAGTCTTCTATTTCCACCGGTTTTTCAGTATTCCTCGTACAAAGTTCAAGCAATCCTTTTATTTTTAACTCAGACATTTTTGAGGAATTTAAAAATGTTCCTTTAGAATTCAGTCAACGAATCACCTTTTATCATAGACTAAACATTCTTTTCAACAGTAATTGCTTTTGAGAGAGAAAGAAATTATGCACGTGTGAACAATGGGGGAGAAGAGTAGAACTTTCACTTCCCTATTCGGTGATCTAGCTTTCTAATCCGGAAGGAAGATTAAATCCACGTGGCAGTCAGGTGACAACAATTAGTAACACCGGAATCCTTTGGGCCACGGTTTCTACCCTCCTTCGATGGTGACAATTTCCCAACTGGCAATTTTCACTTGGCAATACGCACGAGTGCAACGCAAATATGGTGAAATTCTGTAAAATGTCTGCCGCGGTGGATACGTTTTCCGATGACCGGCATTCAAGTGGATTCGAAGGGGATCGTTCGTCCCAGTGATCGCTGAATGAACAGAGACGTATTCTTTCCTTCGATTACGATGTCTTCATAGTAGACGTACTTCGTCTGTAAGTTCGACTATTGCGATCTTTCAACGCAGAATTTATTTTGACAATATCATACATGTAAAGATCCACTTGCATTAGGTATTTATCGATCACATCGATAGATATATTATACTTGCAAAATTTAATTCGCTCCATTATTTATCTGGAAAATTGTCCAATGTAAATGAACATTTTGGTTTTCCACTAATGCCTTTAATTTAAATAAATAATAATAAATCATTTTTAAATAAAGGTATTGAAATGGTAAACGTCAGGTTGGACTGCTCAAAGTACTTCAATTGTATTCTTCTCTAAATATTTATGCGCTAAAATCAATTAACTAGCGACCAAAATTAAGTCTAATCAATATTATTAAAAAAATACGAAAGCGGTTAGGGTTTGTGAAAATTCCGATTGTATAGTTCATCGAAAAAAGAGTAATGTCAGGTAAAATGAGGTTAGAATAAAGGCGGAGTGTAGGTAAAAGGTGCACATGCATGAGAGAATGACATTGAAACTTTAATAATTGTTTGAGCATTTTCCAAGGAATAATGCCCTAATCTATATGGTCACAGAATTATTGAAAAGTGTGATGCGAGTAATTAGCGTATCGTTCGCGAAAACTAATTCCGTGCAAGTGGTCATAACGAGTGAGTTATTTATTCAATTTATGTGTTACTTACGGCAAATGATACAATAACACTTGTTAAAAATCAGAATAAATGTCTTATTGTTACTTTTGTAAACTAATATAAAATAGCTGTTTTTTGCGCTCCGTAAATCTAGTGTTAATGAAACTATTTGTATAATTGTACAGTAAATTCTCTCCAAATTGTCCCGCAGCTTGTGAACAAAAATAAACAATTTGGGAAGAGGAGATGCAACATTTTCTTTTTTATAATTGATGCAAATGCATCGGAGAATGACATTGAAACTTTAATAATTGTTTGAGCATTTTCCAAGGAATAATGCCCTAATCTATATGGTCACAGAATTATTGAAAAGTGTGATGCGAGTAATTAGCGTATCGTTCGCGAAAACTAATTCCGTGCAAGTGGTCATAACGAGTGAGTTATTTATTCAATTTATGTGTTACTTACGGCAAATGATACAATAACACTTGTTAAAAATCAGAATAAATGTCTTATTGTTACTTTTGTAAACTAATATAAAATAGCTGTTTTTTGCGCTCCGTAAATCTAGTGTTAATGAAACTATTTGTATAATTGTACAGTAAATTCTCTCCAAATTGTCCCGCAGCTTGTGAACAAAAATAAACAATTTGGGAAGAGGAGATGCAACATTTTCTTTTTTATAATTGATGCAAATGCATCGGAGAATGACATTGAAACTTTAATAATTGTTTGAGCATTTTCCAAGGAATAATGCCCTAATCTATATGGTCACAGAATTATTGAAAAGTGTGATGCGAGTAATTAGCGTATCGTTCGCGAAAACTAATTCCGTGCAAGTGGTCATAACGAGCGAGGGATTTAGATTACTGGCGGCCGAGTTATCTGTGAGTCGATCAGTTGAAAAACCAGCTGCTGGTGATAGACAGTTTAGGAGAGAAAACAACATTAATTGTTTTCCGGCAGGACGACCGGTCGGAAATTGAACAGGCGGTTGATCGATAAACAATTTTATTGCGTCGGGATACATTACTTCATATTTCACGGTGTATCTTCGTTTTCGAATTGACGTGAACCTCCCGGAACTCATGAAACATCGAGCAAAAGATATTACGCATAAAATCGCGGCTGATAATCGAATACCAGAAAACCATACCGACAGCAGATTCGCGAGTATATTTTTCCTATTACATCTTCATACCTGTTTGACGTATCTTATACCGTTGTTTTTTTACCGTGATTTTTATCTTCTGACGGACGTTATCTTAGATTAATTAGATACTATTAATTAACTGCGACACTTTAATCCGGGATTAATCAAACTTGAACGAGTTCTTATTGTAGTTGAAATACGCGTGTTCCTTAAACATTATCATTTTTTCGTAGTGTAATTTCATTGGACGATTAAAACATGAAATTAGGTTATCCGCTTTATAATTAAAGAATTTGGTAATAATAAAGTCAGTTGCTTATATGTTTGGTATATTGCCACGAATTTTTATTAAATTTACAATAGAAATCGACGATTGTGTGCCTGCTAGTAAAATCGGTAAAACACTAAACGATGCCGTCAGCTTGGGGGCAAGCGAGTGCCAAATGAATTCTCCTTAGCGAAAGGGGAATATTCGTTCGTGTCGAAAAAGTATACTCCCTTGGCATCATTATTAGGATTCGGACCTCCCAAGAAAACCTTATCATTCGAATTGCATGCACCCTGGCGGAAATCAGAATAGGTGGGGCATTTCACTGCTTCGAAGCCCACTTTGCTGTTGATGGACTCCGCGAAATACTTGTAGGCCCGCAGGTGCGAACAGGTGTTGCTTTTGCAGCCAGCTTGTAGACCACCGCCATTGGGATAGAAGTCGACGTCCCCAATCGCTTTTTCGAAACCAAAAACACCTCCATTCGTGTGTACCACTTCCACGTACTTCGCATCATTCCGAGCACATCTTTCGCCTGATGCAGTCAGCGCGAAGTGTGGCAAAGCTGGATCCAAAGCTGTAAAAAAACGAATTTTCAAGTTTTCCAAAATCATTGGAGATTGCACCGTGCTAATGAACTAAAATGATTCCGACTTTCAGTACTTTATTTTGCAGATTTCACTGAATTTTTTCAAACGAATGTTTTATATAAATAAGCGTACAATTTTTATACGAATAATAGCAAAAGTGTTCGTTTTAATTGAATCTTGATAAGTGCATTTTTCTGCTGCTAATATAACGCATCATATAATGGAAAGGAAACCTTGGAAAGAGTGTTCTCATGAATGGTAACATTTGGAGAATGAAGAATAGTAGATTCAAAATCAGTATGCACGACTTACCGACAACACGGTCCACCTTGCCTTTAGCATAACGAGCCGACAGTCCGGCTACGTGACCACCAAGACAGTGACCGATTATGGCTACACGTGATAAATCCAATCCTTGTGTTTGAAGAAAATCGATGAAGGATGAGCAGTATTTGCCCACCACTAGAACACGATTACTAACCTTTACATACGGACCGAATGATATTTTAGACCAGTCGATCCCAATGATATTGTAATCACCATGCTTCAAATAAGCTGTAAGAACCGAGAGAAATTAGAGATTTTAAATATTCCAGCTCATTACATAGGTCTATCTATTATGTTGGCAGGAAAGTAATTTCGGTATTTCAATGTGAAATAAAACTCAATTACTCCTATATAAGAAACGAACTTTAATCAGTCAAATATTTTCCATTCCGTTCGATGACCTTTTGTTATCTTTCTGGTAACTTCATGATTCCGCGTTCATAAAACTTCTGGTCCTTATCAGGAAAAAACTCAATCGAGTACGATTTAAGGCAATCGTTATTATTGAAATGTTTACCATTCAAAAAGTTTTGTAAACTTCGAAATAAATGATAATTTCGTTGATGCAAGGTCAGGACTATATGGAGGATGCGACATCGCTTCCAACCAAGCTCCAATAATTTTGTGCGTGTGGCTAAAGATGTGCGAGGCCTCGCATTGTCGTGATGGACCACGATTCCTTTACGATTTGCCAATTCTTGCCTTTTCACTTTGATTGCTTCCTCCAACTTCATAAGTTGTTGGCAGTAAACATTTGAGTTGATCGTTTGGTTGCTTGGAAACAGCTCAAAAAATACGCAACACCTTTATAGTCCTACCAAATTTACAGCGTGATGCAATTCAGCTTTCGATATAGTTTGTGCTGGTTCATCACGCTTGGACCATGACCTTTTTCGATTAATGTTATTGTAAACGATGCATTTTCCATCAACAGTGATAATTCGTTTCAAGAAAGAGTCGATTGTATTACGTTTAAAATGCCTATGGCAAATACTGATTCGTTGTGTTAAGTGAATTTCTTTCAATTCATGCGGAATCCAAACATCGAGCTTCTTAACAAGTCCAAGACATTTTACGTGATATTCAATTGTTGTGTGTGATGCATTTAACCTTTTTACAATCTCTCGTACAGTTATATGACGATTCGATTAAATTATGGCTTTGATTTGTCATCATTAACTTCAGAAGCTCGACCAGAACGTTGGTCATCTTTAAGTGAAAAATCTTCAGAACGAAATTTTTTGAACCAATTCTGACAGGTGCGTTCTGTNGTTTTGTAAACTTCGAAATAAATGATAATTTCGTTGATGCAAGGTCAGGACTATATGGAGGATGCGACATCGCTTCCAACCAAGCTCCAATAATTTTGTGCGTGTGGCTAAAGATGTGCGAGGCCTCGCATTGTCGTGATGGACCACGATTCCTTTACGATTTGCCAATTCTTGCCTTTTCACTTTGATTGCTTCCTCCAACTTCATAAGTTGTTGGCAGTAAACATTTGAGTTGATCGTTTGGTTGCTTGGAAACAGCTCAAAAAATACGCAACACCTTTATAGTCCTACCAAATTTACAGCGTGATGCAATTCAGCTTTCGATATAGTTTGTGCTGGTTCATCACGCTTGGACCATGACCTTTTTCGATTAATGTTATTGTAAACGATGCATTTTCCATCAACAGTGATAATTCGTTTCAAGAAAGAGTCGATTGTATTACGTTTAAAATGCCTATGGCAAATACTGATTCGTTGTGTTAAGTGAATTTCTTTCAATTCATGCGGAATCCAAACATCGAGCTTCTTAACAAGTCCAAGACATTTTACGTGATATTCAATTGTTGTGTGTGATGCATTTAACCTTTTTACAATCTCTCGTACAGTTATATGACGATTCGATTAAATTATGGCTTTGATTTGTCATCATTAACTTCAGAAGCTCGACCAGAACGTTGGTCATCTTTAAGTGAAAAATCTTCAGAACGAAATTTTTTGAACCAATTCTGACAGGTGCGTTCTGTTAAGCAATCGACGCCATAAACTTCGCATATCTCTTTGTGAACCTCCGCCGCTTTCTTGCCTTCATGAAAATAAGAAAGTAAAATGTGTCGAAAATGTTCATTTTTGCACTCCATGTTAAAGTTGACAGCAAACTATCAGTTGTGGACCGAACTACACGGAATTTGTTTCTATAGTAACCTAAACGTGTCAACTACCAAAGCTGAAGGCAAAAAAATTATAACCTTAACAAAAGAATGACAATGCAAACATACCGCTATCTATTGATGCACACCGAAATTACTTTCTTGCCAACCCAATAGTACAACTGTTTTGAGAAATTGCATTCTATTTAACTGTTCGTTTGACAAATCAAATTGGCATGTTATAGAATGTTCTTACCATCTCTAATCAAAGAGACCGCGTCATCTTTCACAGTGTTTATCCATCCATGTGTGAGAAATTTCGTAGGTCTGCTAAAATTGAAATTGCTGCCCTTCAGTGCGTCGACATCACCGACATACAGTTGTTGTCCATCGGTCGGGTTAGCTTTGGTATAAAGGTAGAAGGAGATCTGTTTACGCAAATCCTTCTTTTTCTCCTCCCAGGTTTCATCGGAAGTAGCTTCGTTTACTTGGTTAGCCACTAATTTATCTCCGGGATCAAGATCGTTTTTTTCGTTTTCGATCAGCGTTTCCAAGTCTGTGCCTAATATTCCAAGACCTTTAAAAGATGAATCTGTTTTATCTATTGAACCGGTCCGGGAACTGAAGGGTATGACGAAATGTGTAGATAAAACGCGAAGCAGTGAAACGAACGGAACGGCTTGCTTGGCAAAATGATTCGGAAAAGGCAGGCTTCACGGGAACTCTTGCAACTGATGCTAAGAATTTCTGTTCGCTTATTCGCAACAAACTTCTGAATTGCACCGCGGATAATTGTTGAGCCAATCGCGACTGAAAGTCACAGGAACTTACCGCTGATCAGCAGGAAACCGAGCTGTACGAACGTCTTCATGTTTGATTCTGGATTTGGTGATCTCTTTATATATATATATTTCGGAATTCGGAGAACGGGAGGAGGAGATAAATACAGAAAACAGAACATGTGGAGTTGAAACCAGATTGAGACTGGGAACGAAATAAGGTAAGCAAAAAACATTGCAGATACGAAAATAAACGACATTTAGAGTGTACGAAGGAATTGTACGGAGGTAGGAAAGGAGAGGGCAGAAGAAGTGGAAGAAAGAGTGAATACACTAGAAACGTGAAACACGAATATATTATCTCTACGAATGCTATCGCCGTGGAATAAAGACGACAAGATAATACACATCATTCTACACGCGTGCTTCTTGTGTAGATTCGAAGAAATCGCAGTCTAAATTTACATAATTAATGTATCTTCGTATAACCTTTGATATTTAGGAAAACATTGATCGCGTGAATAATAAGTATGTCCAAGGCGTCTGGAAACCATATAATACGCGTACAATAACAATGTAAGTGGAGAGAATGTAAATCAAGGGTTACGTAGCTTGAATAGAAATTACTTCGAGACCAGTCGCAAAAGAAACAACACAGTACAGGATCGTCGGTTGCTTTTTCCCGTCGTTGAATTATTCAGGGGCTGGTTTTATGTGCAGCATTGCTAAGTAATTGCTGATAATGATGTCAGAAATGATCATCAAAATTCTGACAAATATATTGACCTTTAACACATTCGGAAATGGCCGTATTAGTTTTTCCAAATCTAAGCGGAAGTTAATTTCATTCGATGTTTTTCAGCATTCATATTATAAGTATTCAATATTAATGTTATAATAATAGCTTCCAACCGTTCCGAATACATTAAGTATATGTATACACGTTTAATAGATGGTACAAATGACACGCGTGCCAATAATTGCAACATTTCAACCAGTTTATTCTCATTGTTATCGGATACATGCATTACAACGATCAGCACATTTTAATACTCGTATACATATTATAATACCACGCAATAATACTATTCATATTGTAATGAAGAAGATTAATTAAATGTACTCTTTCGAAGTGCGCCAATCGCCAAAAGATACGGCATTTAGCTTAACGCTGGATTCACGAAATTTTCAATTTACGATTATTCATATCGTAAAGATACATTTATGGGTTATTTATTCAATGTGTATGTTACTTACGGCAAATGTTGCAAGAAGACTTGTTAAAAATCAGAATACATGTCTTATTGTTACTTTTATAAACTAATATAAAACAGCTGTTTCTTGTGCTCCGTAAATCTATTGTAAAATATCGCCCTGCGCGTACTTAGGGGTTTCGTTCGTCCTCAAATAGTATTTTCCCTTAATACTGTAGTCCGGTTGGACACCTCCTAAGGAAACCTTACGATTCGACTTACATTCGCCATTGCGGAATTTGGAGTAGCTGCTGCATTCCACCGCCACGAAGTCAGAGCTGTTAATAGACTCCGCGAAATACTTGAACGCTCTCAGGTGAGAGCAGGTCTCGGTCTTGCAGCCTGCTTGTAGACCACCGCCATTAGGATAGAAATCGATGTCGCCGATCGCCTCCGAGTAACCAAAAACGCCGGCGTTCGTGTGAATCACCTCCACGTATCTTGCGTCCCCGCGAGCTACCCTGCTGCCAGGCCCAGCAAGCTGAAAGTTCGGGAGAGCTGGATCTAAAGCTGCAAGGAGAATTACTTTTAAATTTCTTGGGAGCTTCAGCTGTTCTGCCTGGAACTGTTTCAAAGATCAGAATTTTGAAAAGATTATTCAATGGAATTAACATCGACAAGCTTGTCATCGAAATTGCACTAATACAATGACAACAAAATTTTTGAAAATTGAAACGCTTCCATTCGCATAGTTATTGTCTGGAAAATGTCAGCTTCTTAACACTTAGCCAACCGAATAGGGAGATCTCCCCGCTTTAAACTCAGGCGTTTGACACCCGAATGGATGATCAATGAAAATTTAAAAATAATTGCTCAAATTTATTAAGATTTGAAAGAGGTACGAATACTGAAGGAGCAATCGATGCCATATAAGTTTGCTTCGTAATTTTTGTTTAAATGAATGAAATATTTTAATTTTATGAAAACTTTTGAGGTTTCTAGCGCGGTCGTGGAAGTGTTAATATAACTGGAAGTGTTACGTCTGAAACTTTTAAGAGATCGTTGATTTGCAAACAGAATTTCGACATTATCGAACACGGTTTCGATAATTGAGCCCTTTATTTTGAAAGTGGCATAAGTCACTTTTTCAAAAAAACCGAGTTAATGGTAACACTAATTACAATTGAACGGTATCTTTTCATTTAAAAAAAATTGCAATCAGTAAGCTCAACTTAGTTCTCAAACTATTGAGATTTGTTCGAGAGAAGTTTTGCTAATTAACGGTATAACAAACATGTTTATTTTGAAAGTGGCGTAAGTCGCTGTACTCAGGAAATTAATTGCGGGGCTTAGTGTAAAAGAAATAGAAACGTGTGATAAGTGTGTGTGAAGTATTGTTTTGAATTATTTTCAGTATTTTTAAAAAACTTGTGATCACTGGACTTATTTTTATAAGTGCGAAAGAGAATAGCGCAGTTTTGTAAATTATATTATAGTGATGTGGCAGCTACCTCCAGACCCGCCGGCAGATGGCTATAAAATGTTTTATAAAGTAACTTTAGATGAAAAAGATGAATTTCTAGCTTTGGATTTGTCACCAAAAAGAAGAAGACCTAGGCGTTATTCACAAATAGAAATGGATCCGTTATANTGAAAAAGATGAATTTCTAGCTTTGGATTTGTCACCAAAAAGAAGAAGACCTAGGCGTTATTCACAAATAGAAATGGATCCGTTATACGCTGGATCTCGTCCTGTTTCTTCAGCAAAATACAAAGACACGATGGACTTGCTTAATAATATATCCCCAATATACCACAGTTATTT